AATAATAATAATAATAATAATAATAATAATAATAATAATAATAATAATATTATTATTATTATTATTATTATTATTATATATCATTATTATTAATAATAATAATATAATAATAATATAACAATAATAATAATATAATAATAATAATATAATAATAATAATAATAATAATAACAATAATAATAATAATAATATAATAATAAATAATAATAATAATAATATATAATAATATAATAATAATAATAATAATAATAATAATAATAATAATAATAATTAATAATAATAATAATATAATAATAATAATAATAAAATAATATAATAATAATTGATAATAAAAAATGATAATAATAATGATAATAAGCAATGATAATATAATAACAATAATGATAAGAATAGTAATAATTAATGAGGATAATAGTAATGATAATAATAATAATAAAAATAAAATAATAATGACAATAATAATGAAAATAATGATAATAATATAATATAATATAGTAATATAATGATAATAATAATAACAACAACAACAACAACAACAACAGCAGCAACAACAATAACAACAGCAACAATGATAATAATAATTATTTAAATAATAATAATAATAATAATAATAATAATAATAAAAACAACAAAAATATAATAACAACAATGATGATAACAATAATCATAATAATAATGATACTAATAACAATAATAATAAAAGAAAAATCATAATGATATTGAAAACAGACATAAATAAAAACATCACCATCACAACAAAAATGATGACAGCAATAATAGTATTGCCCTTACTGAGTGAACATCAGTCATGACCGAAAAGAGGCGCCATGAGGGCACTGGTCTCCCTGCCCCCCAGTCTTCCCAATTCCGCCAGAAACACGTAACATGGGTGCAGAGGTATGGGCGTGAGGAGAGAGTGGGCGTGCTAGTTATTGTGTGTGAAAGTGTGAGTGGTCGGTACCTGGCAGCCATGACAGCAGTCACGGCGGTGTGGAACTGCCTGCTCAGTCCAGCCGACGCCGAGGGGAATACGACAATATCAGTGAGGGATCCACCAGCTACCCTGCCCACCCTATCAAGCCAGAAATGTTAATCTTTTTTAACCCATCATGCGGTCAAGATATCTCCAGTATATCAAGGGATAAGGAAAGAGCAACAACCACAACAACGTGTCTCTTGAAGATTTGGACACAGCCCGGGGGTCTGTCCTCGGTGGCCGGGGCTGCGTCAGGGCGCTGTGCACTCACCTGCTCTTAAACCTGAGGCGTCGCTCCGTCAGGTCCTCACGGATGAGGTCCATGCTTGCAAGAGAGACACTCACAATTGCATGAGCACAGCAGCGGGATGATACATACGGCTCGGTTCATGGGGAATACAGTTTTACTCTCTTTTGTTAACTGTACTAAGAACGTGTTAATAACTCAAAGAAAACTCACACAAAAATAAACTCTCCCATGTTATGACAGAACTAAATTAACGGCAGGTATGCCATGGTTTCTCACACTGATATCGTATATCATTATCAGTAAAAGGAAAACACAATCTAATCTAAGGAGGGGGCTTGGAGGGCAATGCAAAACACACAGGGCTTGACACTCGGGGACGATGCAAGGGCCTCGGGACGCCTAACTCTAGCACATACCTGAAGGGAGACTTGCCCCGCTTCTTCCTCTCGGCGGGCTCAGGGGCGCCCTCCTCCGTCACGCCGTTCACCTCGGGCGTCAGGGAGGCGGCTTCGGAGGGAAATCAAAGTCAGCTCGTTTAGCATTTGTCATGTGGAATAAATATGTTCTAACGGTTGCGTGTACAAAGCAAACATGACAGTGAAAGAGACGTGTATACGTATTTCTTCTAGTCTAGACAACGCCCTTTTGAAATATGGAATCGTTTCAAACTTTGCATTTTTGTATCATGACCTACCCTTCTCTGGAGTGACGGCTGCTTCCTTGCGCACGATTCCTTCATCGGCCTCTACACCTTCCTCGTTGTAATGCAGCTCTGAAACAAGGAACACACGTCAACACGCATTGAAAACGACTTTGAACTATACACAAACTCTAATTATATTATATCTTAATGAACAAATAAATGCGCCAAACAGAAAGGAAATACATCCCATTCCTTCTCACTCGACGTACCTTTGATGTCGGACATAGAGAAGCCGGTATCGACGAGGGAGCTCTCGAAGTGGGCGGGGCCCTGAAGGTCTCCGCTCTGGATCCTGTTCTGCCGGATCCTCACCTCCTGCCATCGCCTGGCCTTCTCTTCCTCACTGAGAACACAAAAGAGTTACAGTTTCATCTTTACTTTACCATCATCGTTTTGGTTTTAATTCGTATTTAATGTCAAAGACTCGAAGATCCATATAGAAAATATAAGAAATAAAAATCAGTTCACAAGTAATGTTTATGAGTAATCTTTTACTCTGAAGCACCCTCAGGAAACCAAAAAAAACGATCACTAACAAATAGTTAAACCCGACCAATAAAATACAACATACCAAGAAAAATAAAACAAATTAACAACCAAAACTCGAACTCACTCGATGAACTCCTGGTCGCACACCACGGGCAGCGACAGCCTCAGGAACTCCCAGTTGGCCTTCTCGCACTGCTCGAACATCTTGGACGCGATCTTGAGGCACGGAGGAGTGTCGGAACCGGCGGGGATGCGGGTCACGTCGATGGTGGATTCGGTGAGGTCGTCGTTGTTCTCGAAGATGGGCTGGTCCTTCGTGTACCAGAAGGTCACGGGGCGCTCCATGTTCCTGAAGAAGGGGGAGGTCGTGGTGAGAGCGGAGAGGGACTCATCGCAAGAAGCATGTAAAACGTTTATTAACTTATCAATTAATGAACACAAACACAAGTACAGTAACGTGTACACAAAAATTAAAATGAAAATAGCCACAATGAGAACAGAGTTCACGAGTTCACGAGTTCCTCTTCAGACAAATAATAAACCGAAATGGATCAAATGAGGAACTCGTGAAGAGCTCGAAACGTTACAATTATTTTCTATTCTTATTTTCTATTCTTATTTTGGTGTCATCCCTCCAGGATGACACCAACCTCCACCCGAAAAAAGACCATCAAACACTCACACGCAGAAGGGCTCGTAGCTCTCCTGGAGACCGTAAGTAGTGAAGAACTTGAGCTGGTTGATGTCCTGGCCGAAGACGAAGTGCGCCTTCTGGCCGACGCCGAGGGTGCAGGCCGGCACGAACGCGTCGCCCTGCACGTCGCAGAAGGCCGTCTCGGAGCCGCTCGCGTCCATCATGAGTTCTCCGTTGAGCGAGAAACCTGTGGGCGGGATGGGCGTGAGGGCGGGCGGTGGCGGCGGGCGCTTACTTGTTGGTCCTCTCTCTCTCTCTCTCTCTCTCTCTCTCTCTCTCTCTCTCTCTCTCTCTCTCTCTCTCTCTCTCTCTCTCTCTCTCTCTCTCTCTCTCACTCACTCACTCTCACTCACTCACTCACTCACTCACTCACTCACTCACTCACTCACTCACTCACTCACTCACTCACTCACTCACTCACTCACTCACTCACTCACTCACTCACTCACTCACTCACTCACTCTTCCTGTGATCTGAGGTATTTTTCTATATGCGGTATATGATTATCTAGCTACCTGTCTACGGGGTTATTTTTACATGTACTTACTTTTCATTCTACTTATCTAAATAATATCTACTGATCTAAATAAGTATCATCTACGAAGCTATCTCGTCTTCTCTTCCTTTCCTCTTCCTCTCTCTCTCTCTCTCTCTCTCTCTCTCTCTCTCTCTCTCTCCTCTCTCTCTCTCTCTCTCTCTCTCTTCTCTCTCTCTCTCTCTCTCTCTCTCTCTCTCTCTCTCTCTCTCTCTCTCTCTCTCTCTCTCTCTCTCTCTCTCTCTCTCTCTCACTCTCACTCTCACTCTCACACTCACTCTCACTCTCACTCTCACTCTCACTCTCACTCTCACTCTCACTCTCACTCTCACTCTCACTCTCACTCTCACACACACACACACACACACACACACACACACACACACACACACACACACACACACACACACACACACACACACACACACACACACACACACATTTACTCACTCACTCACACACTCAATCACTCACTCATTCATTTATCAATTCACTCACTCACACGCACAAACACACACCCACACAAACAAGTACGTTTCCGGCTACACACATGTCCCTACCCACACAAACCAGCAGCACTGATATAGCTAAGCAAAATTACAAAAGATAAATCATCAAAAGGGTTTAAAAATGATTCAGGTGTTTAGATTAATTTTTTTATCTTTTCTGCAAAAAAATTTAAGCTTTAATAGAAAGATCTGACAGATTATAAAATGAAGCTTAGCGGAGTTCTTAGACTGGATTAAAATCTGAAATTTTACACTTCATGTTCTTTATTGCAAAGCTGTGTTACTAAGCTTCTTAAGAACTTACAACATGAACAGAAAAGAGAAAAACAATATACAAATTTCTCTCTTAACTGATGATGGTTGGTTAATTGGTAGAATTGAAATAACACAAAAGCCTTCACAAGAGACAAGCACTTCGATTTGCTGTATTCTGAGTGACTCGATTTTCTGAAAGACTTTCGTTTATTTTTTCTTCACTTTTTTCAACACTACACCGATCGTCTGTTTGGGAAAGATACACTTTGAAAAAATCACTTATTTTTTCTTCTTTACTTAAGATATTGATTCATGGGAATGTGGGATATTGAGGAATAAGGTTTTCATCCACCGGTCTTCGGTAATAATTTTAAAAATCATATCAAACCACAAATAGATAAAAAATGAGAATTAGGGATGCTGAGGACATAGAGGGATAAGCGTCTATGCTTTTCCAAGAACCCGCAACCGAAGCGTGCAGTTTGGAAAAGAACGGGACCATTCTTCGTGCATTCGGAGAAAAGTGGACTTCATTCTCATCGCAACATGGTGCAACGGGGTTTTGTGCAACAAGGGAGTAAAAAAATGACGCGAAAGATGACTAAAAATTCAAAAAAATGCTTGTGAAGAGGAAAAAGTGATATGCAAAAATGGATGAAAGGGGTGCCAAAATATTCTCAGTTCTACAATGCGGGGATTTTGGATTTTCCTCAAAGGCGAGAAACGTGGGATTCACACGACCCAACTGGGAAAAGCGTGTATCATAAACTGCTAACAATCTAAACTTCTAACATATTTGAAATTCGTGATACTGATGACCATGCGAAGCAAGGAAAAAATCGATAATCTGTGCGTGGACTACGATAATACTTGTATCGAGGAGAATAACACGGTGCGCAAACTCATGTCGTCCAGATTTGTGAAGGCGACAAGAATCTATTCTTAATTAGGAAGGCTTTGATTCTGACTGAAGTTGACCAGTAAATGTTTTGTTAATTTACAGTTGTTCTTGCCACCTCCACGCTAGGTGCATGAGGCGAGGACCCGACATGCTGGCTATAGCGCTGCCCTTGACGCTGGCAACACGTCGAGCCCTTCACAGACTAAAGCTAAAACGAGGCGAACGACATCCTCCTGAAGCGTTGACTATTCTGGGATACTACTGCTGCTACATGGAAGAACTAGTTCCATCTTTACGCTCATCTACAAGAGCCACCGACGGCACAGGGCCAGTAACTCACTGATGGTTCTGTCGACCAGATCAAGGCACACGCCAACCACGTCTCCAACTTGCCACTTGTGACCGTAGCTCTCCATCGTGCCCGCGTGACATTTCTCCTCCTGCGCCACACACAATGCATTAACACACACGAACGGAAGACACATTTTTAGCTTCGTCCTGCAACATGGCTGTGGACATGTTGGACGTTTAAGATGGTCGGCGTTGAACTGCACCAGATGAAGCCCCTTTTTAGGAGAAAGTCATAGCATCTAACAGGGTGAAACTACCACCACTTGATCGAGTTACATGGGAAAATGGGAATCCTCTGGTGCCGTTCAACGCCTGGCAGTTACGCGGGTGAAGGAACATGGTTAGAGGCAGTGGAGAAACTTCTTTAGCAGCCAAAAAGAGCATCTGTAAGCAAAGAAAGAGTTTGAATGGTTAGTTGTAGGTTGCAAACAGCTCAGCACACTGGAGAGGTACGATGTCATCTCAGACTTCTGTCTCTTCTGTCTGTCTGTTTCTTCCTCTGTGTCTGTCAAGCGAGGGACACAGAACACCCGTCCCTTGGCCATCCCCAGTGTGCGTCGGCTGTTCAGACTGGGCGTTTCAGACTGAATGGATGGGTAAATGGATAGGAGGAGGGGCGGGTGTGGGGCTTCGAGACTGATTAACCGACTTACTGATGGTTCTGTCATGCAGGTCCAGCATGACTCCCACCACATCGCCGGCCTGGATACGGTGGCCATATGCCTCCGATATGGCATTGTGGTGTTTCAAGTGCTTTGGAAATATGGACATATTACTTATTTATTTCTGTGTGCATTTGCAGGAGAGTGTAACCTTGAGTGTGGCTGTTATACTTTTGTCTGAAATACTTATATGGTAATCACATGCAAATTAATTTCTATACACATTATCTAGACTGGTGTCTGAAAAATGCAATGCAATTTTAATTTCTAAAACCTTAAAATAACATTTTCTATTAAGTATTTAAAAATACATTATATATCATATTAAATATAAGGCAATAATTTTCCCAGTAAATTCTAAGATTTTCTTAATGTTATTATGTTAGCGCAATCATTTTCAATTTTGGTTTCACATCAGTGAAACCAAGCCATCCATACATATAAGATTAATTTCTTCTCATTGAGATTACAAGATCCATTGAGAAACATACATATAAAGTCTATGATACACATACATATGTGTGTGTGTGCATTCATATATTATTCATTCATATATGCATTCATATATATATATATATAATATATATATATATATATATATATATATATATATATATATATATATATATATATATATATATATAGTACACACACACACACACACACACACAACACATCTATATATATATATATATATATATATATATATATTATATATATATATATATATATATATAATATATATATATATGTATATGTAAATATATATATATATATATATATATATATATATATATATATATATATATATATATATATTAAATATATATATATATATATATATATATATTATATATATATATATAATATATATATATATATATATATATATATATATATATATAATATATATACATAATATATAAACACCATTCACATATAACCCACCAGGTCATTTTATTATCTCTTGCTTTAAACATTGTATAAAAAAACATTGACCCAGACTCCACCAAGTCAGCCTACCCCCTTCCGCCATTCAACCATTCACCCAGAGCCACTCCCCCAAGACCCCCGTTTCCTTCTCGAACCTCCTGCGCCAAAACCCCGACTCACATGGAACCCGTCGAAGGCCCAGGACCTGTCGTCGGATCCGAGTTCGGCTCCGGGAGGGCTTCC